CATGCAGCAAAGAGTTGCTCTAAAAATCAATGCTATTTTTCAATTACATCACAATAACAAAATTTGCATTACAAATTTCTGCAGGTTGAAAATAATCTGAAAGTGTTTCAGTAGCAGTTTGCATAGATATAATGGATTGGAAAATTGAAAGGGAAAACCGTGATTTATTATAACTTTTACAAGATAGTAGTTTCAGCTGCCAATAACCTTCACAAACATGTAGCCAAAATCTAAGATTGATCTTATAAAAAGAATAAATATATGCCCAACAGTATTTTCTATTTACTGTTGGTTTACTAAAGTGAACCAATCAATCCTCTTTACGGAATATATTTTTCTCTTATAATTCGCCTGATTTACTTACAGAGCACTGTTGTAACTCACCACAGTCGGCTTCGTCGCTCCGGTCGCCACAGTCGTTTTCACGATCACAGCGCCAAGTAGCAGGAATGCAACGACGGTTCTTACATTTAAATTCGTATGCAGAGTCGCAGTCTAGACAACAAGAAAAGATTACATCTTTGAGTGAAAAGTGAGAAGAAAATGGAAATAAGGGTTTGCCTATATCGATAAGTCCCTGTCCACGTCAGATTGGAATTGAAAAAAGATACATATGACATTTTTTGAAAAGAAAAGATATTTACCACTCATTGTAGCCCACTGCTAATAATCATAAATATTTAGAGGAATCATTTCTTTCAGGACACGAACCGCGTCACTGTCATCCTTGTTTCACTGGGCTTGCGGCAGCTTGGAGAACGTGTTTTTCCCACTCTCACCCCTTCTAAGTTAGGATTTTGACAGTTTTTGATAGTCAACATCAAATTCATACATCAGTGTTTATTAATACTGTAGCCAACATTGCAGCCTTATATTTTGTTATATATTTGTGAGAGTGAGCCAAAATTCCTTCTTCAACTGGCTGCAAGCTATGTGTAACATCAGCATGTCGTCAATATGCCAGCAACATGATATTTTCTTAATCAAGTGGTAGTATGAATAACGATCGATTTTCATTTATCTCATTATCACTGATTTGTAGGTAAAAATGAAGGATAAAAGACCTGATATTAACTAACCTTTGCTTTGAAACCCAGCATAGCCATGGTAAAATGCGTTAATATCAAGAGTAGGCATTCTCATGTTGAGCCTGGCTGTCTTGACATTGTTCAGGTAAACAGGTGTTGTCTCAGGAGGCGTCTCGGTTGCCGGGGTGGCCTGGCACGATGTCCAAATAAGTAAAATTAGAAATGTGCATCTAAGTATCCCAAAGAACATGTTTTTAAAACAAAGCTCTGCGTTATCAACCTCGTCACTAATATTCCAGTTTGAGAATCAAACGAAATTTCTATGACTGAATGATGACCACTGTTCTTTTGGTAGCAGCTTACGCTCGCGCTTTTATAGGCCTTGTGAAGGTTTTGGTATGTGAGCAAAAATGGGTGAGGTCGCATCACGAACGCGACATATGTGGATCTCTCAGACATTTTCACGGTCTCGGCTATGTAATTGTGCGTGGAAGGACTGTTGCAACTGCAACAAGTGTGTATATGGCCATGGGTGGCACGCGACATATCGCTACACGTAACAGAATGTTCCGTTTGGGTTACAGTGTTTTGTCATAATAATATCAAGCTTTTATTGCTGTTTTGAGAATCACAAACAATATAAACATGCAGGTAAAATGCAGACCAAAAATCTAAAAGTGTCATAAATTAAAAACGTAATCCTAGACTAATGCCTGGAAACAATACTATAATTAAATGTAATTGATACTAATTTACTAGAAAAAGTTACATTAAAATTGAAAAAAAAAACTGATGAAAAAATAAAGATAAAATTAATTGTCATTTTCCGAACATATACATGTATTAAATAGATAATTAATGTACTAGTACAGTAACGTTACCGGAAACAATCGCTTTTCCGCTAGATGGTGCTGCAGTTGTACTTCCTTTTGTTTACAATCGCGCAATGCATTTTGGGATACCACACTATCCTGAAGAGACGTTTACGTCAAGTACTGCGTGGAATTTCTAGCAAAATGACTGATTTTATAGACTGGGAATCTTTGCCTTATTCCCGTGCAGGAGATTTAAAACACCGGAATCCATACGAAATGAAGAAAGGGAGATTAGCTCCCATTTGGACAACAGGGCATGAAACATGGGAGCATTCCAAAAATGAAATCGTTGGTATCATCAACAATGGTTTCCATTATAGAGGAACACTTCATAAAGATACATATTTCAAAGTGATCAAAGCTGACATGATGAGCCATCTGCTGTTAAACAATTGGGAAGACGATCATTTTCGCATCCTGAGTGATTTCTGTGGCCACACAGAAGTAAGTCGTGTCTTATTTTCTTCTTTAGAATCTTCTTTTATTCAAATGAACGGAATTTGCTTCCAATTTTAAGTTTTAGAATTTTGCAAGATAGCCTCCGTGGAAACTTTTTAAAAAGACATATGAAAATTTCTATAACTGATATTTTATGACAAGAATTTTACTGAATTTTTAACGGACTTGATGAACAGATATTTAAAGCCTATGTAACATAATTGGATTTTCGACTTTAAAAAAAAGTTGTCATTACCATGTTTTTTCTTCAGCTAATATTTAGCAAGATCCTGATGGGATGCAATTTTGATTGTCCAGTTATAAGCTAGCAAAGGTCACTGTAAAGACTGTGATTATCCTATTATTGAAGCTATAGATTACTGCAAAGACAAGAGATACTGTACATGTAGCAGACTTACCAACATTATCATTTTGGCACAAGCCAACCATTTTATCCTAACAAAGATGCTTTATATCGTTTTTAAAGGTTGCTATAAAGATTGTAAACAAGAGGCTTGCACCCACAGAGTACTGGGCTGATGTGCTACCCAGAGAACTACAAGGACATCAAGTTCTGTCTACCAGCAGCAGTTTTGTAAGTTGACAAACTGCATGACTGTATTTTTATGAAGCAATTTGGTATTTCGTCCTCATGCTACTGCTATGTTTTCCATGTTTACTTTTATCTTATGAGAAACACATTTATAACACTTCTGTTTAACAAGAGGTCAGTATAAGCAAAAGTACAATATTCAAATTTAAATGAATATATAAATACATCCTTATGTTTTTGGTGCTATATATAAGAAGATATATATAAATCTTTTTTCATTATGTAGGTGCATTATGAATAAGCCATCAAAGCTGTTTTCTTATTAAGGCTTGTATTCCACACAAGTTACTTATCCAGTAAATCTTTTTCTTAGTTACAGTTTTATAAGACATTTGGCAACAAGGACTACCTTTACATAGTGACAGAATTCTGTGATGGTGGTAGTTTGAATAAACTGGTGCCAAATGTGGATAATGTGAAAAAAACAAATTTGTCCAAATTAGGCCTAGATGAACCAAAGGCAAAGTCTATTTTTTCGCAAGTCTGCACTGCTGTTAATACTCTGCACATCAGTGGGATAATCCACAGGTACATTCTTAAATCCATCTTCCAAAATATATATATATATAGTATTAGTTATGAGGTTTATTTTGGAAAGTTGGAATGACACTGAGAAATACCCAGTTAGTCTGTAAAATAGTCATAATCTGTGTTTTTTTTTTAGTTTTACTTTATATGGCTGTTAATAATAATATCTCAGTTAAGTACAGAGTGAATTAGTGAATTGATACATATTTTTAAAGATTCATGTGGTTTCATTTATTTCAGAAATATAACAATGGGAAATATTCTACTTGATTCATTTGAAGAAATTAGAGTCAAAGGTTGGTATTATTGATGAAACTGGCATGCACTTGGAACAGGTTACAAATGCTTTTATGATATTCCTGTCTTTCGTGAAACACATTTAGCAATAAACAAGTGGATCAAATTACTGCTTATTTGTCAATCTGCTGCTTTTTCCCTTTTTTTACATACATATTTCTTTCATAGATTATGTTCCATGATAAAAATTAAGCTTTGCTAATGATATGAAGTGGGAGAAATTCTATAATTTGGAATA